TTATTTTGATATATCACAGTGAAAGATTTATCGTCCTCTTTTTTTTTTTTTTTTTTTTTTTTTTAAAAAAAAAAAAAAAAAAAAAAAAAAAAAAAGAAGCATATACAAGCTCATATTTATAGAGTACTTTAGTGTTTAAAATTTTTATTTTTATATCTATTTTTATTTTTATATGTATGTATGTTCTGTCTGCATGCTTGCAAGTGTACCATGTGCATGCAGTGCCTGCAGAGGCTAGAAGAGGGCATCAGATCCTCTGGAACTGGAGTTAGGAACAGTTGTTAGCTGCCATGTGGGTGCTGGGAACCAAACCCAGGTTCTCTGCAAGAACAATCAGTGCTCTTAACTGCTGAGCCGTTTTATCAGCCCCTTGAAGATTTTTTTAAATGAACATGGATTTCTTGGGAGTAAAAAGCATTCTGTTTGGTAATTTCCTTAAAATTTAAAGTAAAAACATTTTTTAATGCTTATTTTGTGTGTTGGGGGAATGCTCAACCTGCCACGAGGGGGGTGGGTGGTGGTGGTGGTGGTGTGTGTGTGTGTAACACAGTGTACATGTGAATCTCAGAGGACAACGTGTAGGAGTTGGTTTTCTCCTTTCACCATATAGGTTCCAGGGATTCAGGTTTAGTAATATGCTCCCTTGCATAAGCACACACATGCAGAAATGTGAGTTTTTTTTTGTTTTTGTTTTGTTTTTTGTTAATTTAAAGAACAGAAAGTAGGGGCTGGAGAGATGGCTCAGCAGTTAAGAGCAGAGGACCTGGGTTCAGTTCTCGCACCCACATGGTGGCTAACAACCATCTGTAATTCTAATTCTAGGGGATTTGATGCCCTCTTCTGACCTCTGGGCATTGCATGACACAGGTGCACTTACATGTAAGCTGTATGCTCATACACATAAATAAAAATAATAAAATTGGTTTTTTTTTAAGTATACTTGTTTATATCTGACACATTTTCTTGACATTGGTGTTAGTGTTCATACCCTTGATACATGACTCTTTTTTTTGGTCTTTTTAAGACAGGGTCTCCCTGTGGCCCCAGCTAACCTGGAACTCACTATGGAGACCAGGCTGGCCTTGAACTCAGAGATCTGACTGTCTCCCAAGTGCTGGGATTAAAGACATACACTACCACACCCAACACGAAACATGACTCTTAATTAATACCATAGTATTAATTACATTTTAAGAATTTTTAGCATTTCCTTTGCCATGTAAATTTTTATACTGTTACATGAGCCCACCTTTTGTATTATTTACTCTTTCACTGGAGCTTTTAGCCTAAATTCAGCTAACGTATTCTTCCAGAAAAAAGTTAGTTGCTTTAATTTTTCCTGTTGTTTCTTCCCATTTCTTCAATATTATATAACTATTAGTGATTAGTATCTCTGTTAAATTAAGTGGTTTATTTATTTTTGTCCACAGCCATGAAACCTCAGGGATCTGGTAGTTTTGGAGCCATTCTGGGCAGCAGGGCCCCTCAGAAGGAAACTAATAGACAGCTTTCTTACTCAGACCATCAGGTATGTTCATTTGGATCTTTTTCACTTTTTAGAAAACCTAATTATAGATGAGCTAGGTCATTGGGGGCATAGAATGTACGTGGTGATTATCTAATCTGGCATTGTCTCAGTGGTGCTTTCCATAGCTGACGTTTTACATTTTGATCATCTCAGTCTCGTCAACTATTTTGATAAAAGCCTTTTTAAGTTTTATCACAGTGCCCCCTTCTTACATAGAGTTTTGTTTTGGTTTTTGTCTTTTTGAGACAAGGTCTCCCTGTAGCCACAGTGGGCTTGGAACTCGCTCCTAAGACCGGGCTGGCTTTGAACTCACAGAGATCTGCCTGCCTCTGCCTCCCAAGTGCTGGGATTAAAGCCATGTACCACCAAGCCCAGCTACCATAGTTTTATTAAACACAATTTAACCTTTGCTTGATATCTTCTGGCCATCAGAATGAACCATAGCATAGTTTTTAAGAGCATGGACTTGGAATTACAAGTAGATTCAACAATATGGGTGTTTGGTAAAACTCTTAAGTATCCTGATCCTCAGTAGCTGTCTATAACATGGAGACAGCAGTAATGTTTTAGCAGTTGTTCTGAGATAATGCACTTAAAAGGGTTAGCTTGCTGTGTACCATAATATTGCAAACAGCCTTACAAATGTTTGCTATATTGCTTTGATGCATTTGGGTCTGTGGTACATAGTGAACTTTGCTTTCATGTTAATGTGACACAATACTATTTTGCTGAAAAGTTTTTCCTTGGGTCTGGAGAGATTGCTCAATGGTTAAGAACACTGGTAACTCTTGTAGAGGACCCTGTTTCAGTTCCCAGCATACTCAGCAGCTAGCAACCATCTGTAGCTCCAATTCTAGGAGATCTTATGCCCTCTTCTGACTTCTGTGGGTACTATACATTTATATGCATACAAGCAAAATACTCATACACATAAAATTCCAATAAAATTTATGTTTGTCTTGGGGGTAGAGAGATGGCCCAGTGGGTTAAGAACACTTGCTATTCTTTCAGAGGACTGGGTTTGACTCCCAGCACCCACATGCAACTAACAACTCTCTGTAACTCCAGTTCCCAAGGATCCAACACCCTCTTCTGGCTCCTATGGGCATTGCACACATATAGTACGCTTACATACATTCAGGCAAAACACTCATACACATAAAATAAAAATAACAAAAGTTTTTTTAATGTAATATAATAAAAATAGGAGGTAGAAATTGGCTAGGCAGTCAGGGTAAAAAGACCCCAAACAAAAGTAGCCAGTTTCTTACTTGGCTAAAAGTCAAAATGTTCTTGGGCCTCTTAGCAGCCTGATCTGTATCAAAGTCCAGAAATACCAAAATTTTTTAAGAGCTTTTGTCTAATTCCTAGGTTACCTCTTCAGAGGAGGGAAACTATTAGAGCAACATATAGCCCCCATAAGTTCTCAGGAAACCTGGGTTTACTCTTTCAAGCCCCTGAAACCACCTGATGGACATGCACCTTCAGTATTAATAAGTGCATGACTACAGAACAGCTAAATTGGGACTCTTATCATGGAGACATGTATGTACTAGTCCATGTTCTCCCCCAGGTTTATCTTTGTAGCAGAGAAGAAGGGTAGAAACACTTCACCTTAACCCAGGTCTCTCAAGAGCCAAGAGAAGTCCTGCTACTGTCCATGTGAAAACAGGCATTGCAGGTTCTGATGCCTTGGGTGCTGCCACCCTAGCCAGGGGCAGTAAAAATTTTAGGCTTCTAGGCTCTCAGACAGAGACATCGGATGTCTACAGGATTCCATCGGGCAGTTGGAGAGACAGGTTGACTCCCTAGCTAAAACGGTGCTACAGAACAGAAGGGGGTAGATCTGCTGTTCCTAAAGAAAGATGGCTCATACATGGCCTTAGGTGAGGTTTGTGGTTTTTATGCCAATAATTCAGATATAATTGAGTTTTACTGGGTCTCTGGTAATATTCCTCCTAGCCTTTATGGTGGGGGTCCATGCCTCCTAAATTGCCTAAATGCCATCAAAATTAGGGTTCTAAGGACCCAATATGACCCTCAAAATCAAAACAAGTCAAAGATTTGACTTATGTCCCAGAGCCAGTGAGAAATGAATATCCCCGGTGCCTCCATTTTATACTAGTTTAACTGGTCAATCAGAGAAGGGTAATTTCCCATTTTCTTCTTCATGCCTTTCTTACTAAACATGCTTTCTTTAAGGCTTTGGGCTGCCCCTAGCATCTTGTATTGCTTTACTTTCTCTAAAGCTTCCTTCTCCTAGCCATGTGGCTGCCAATCAGCCACATGTCTGACCTCCCACACAGGCTCTAAACCTTCCTACCATTCACCTCCTCAAGGCAGCTGCCAAGATTACCAGCTCACCCGCCCTGCGAAATTCTTTTTCTTTAAAATTCTAATAAAATCGTAAAAGCTTTAAAAAAAAAAAAAAAAGTGTTTCTTTCATGTATGGTCTTACTAATCTTAATACAGCTTAGCAATTCTTGTGTCTCTTAATTGATTTGCAAAGGAAAGCCAGTTATAAAAGCAGAGAAGCTTCAGAGCCTTTCTGTAAGTAAATTTGTACTTAGAGAGTTAATACTTACTAGATTGAACAATAAATGAGACTTAATGGTTTTTAGGTTCTTTTCATAGGTTATTATTAGATTTATTTGTTTAAATTTATTGTATTTATTTTGTATATGTGTGAATGTGCATACCACTAACTTATATTTTGCTTTTATGTATAAAAGGTTTTGATATAAAACTTTTTCATGATCAAAATTTCAGAAAAATAGGTAACTAGTATGTTGCCATTTGTATAATAAAAAGAATTCACCTTTGTGTTGTTTAGAGAAACTAGGGATGGGATAATAAAGTGGAACTTGGTGGGGATAGGGTTGTAGAGAAGTTCTGAATCTATATCTTTTAATATTTTTATTTATAGACCTTAGAATTTTGTTTGCTGTGCTAGGGCTTAAACCTAGGACCTTGTGCACGTTAGGCATGTGTTCTCCTGACAAGCTGTATCTGTAACCTAAACAGTTAAAATATATCACCAATTTCAAAATTCAGTTTATTTAATGTATATGAGTGTATTGCCTGCATATATGTAAGTGTACCCGTGTTGTGCAGTGCTCACAGAGGTCAGAAGAGGGCATCAGCTCCCCTGGAACTAGAATTATGGCTATTTCTCAGCTGCCACCTGGGTGTTGGGAATCAAACCTGGGTCCTCTACAAGAGTACCCAGTGCTCTTAACTGCGGAGCCTTCTCTCCAGCCCCCCAGATTTAGCTTTTTAAAAACATTAATCCTGAGCTGGGCGTGGTGGCACACGCTTTTAATTCCAGCACTTGGGAGGCAGAGGCAGGCAGATCTCTGAGTTCAAGGCCAGCCTGGTCTACATGGTGAGTTCCAGGACAGCTGGGGCTACAGGGAGACCCTGTCTCAAAAAGGCCAAAAAACAAAAACAAAAACAAACAAAAAAATTAATCCTGAGGTTTATTTCCTATCCTAAGGTTATAATTCTATAAAAGGAAAGTAATTGGGTATATCTTCAATAGAGGAATTATGTAGTTCTTAATGTAGACATATAAAACACAACTGGCAGAATGTTCATCTAAAACACTACTTCTCAAATAATATGTTCCAATTACTACACTCTCTGAATGTTTTGTTTGCTGTCCAGTGGGTAGACCCTTTAATTCATCTGTCAATGGAGTCTGTCTTATCTTTTCTCCCCATTATTTGTTTTATTCCTCAACTTGAATCCTCTCAGAAGTCATACAACTGTTTTATGGACTTACATGATTTGATACTAAGTTGTCTCTCAATTAAAATGTGAATGTTGTTTCTCCTCCCTCTTCCTCACCCCCATTCCTCTTGTTTTGGGTAGTCCTAAGTCTTTGAGCATGCTAAACATACGTTCTAACATTGACCTATACTCACAGACCCTGTCATCATTCCCTATTATAATCATGATTTATTTTCCCCCAAAGATCATTCACACTGATCTCTAGACCATGCGTTTCTGTGCTTTGTTTTTTTTTCAACAGAAAAAACATGGTATTACTATGTAGGCCTAGATATCCCAGAACTCACCTGCTTTTTTTTTTTTTTTTTTTTTTGGAGACTGGATCTTACTGTGTAGCCTATATAGCCCAGGATAATTCTTGAACTTACAGGGATTCTCTTGCTTCAGCCTCCCAAGTGCTGAGCTTACATGTATGAGCTGCCATACTTGGCCTTGTTTTGTTACCGTTGGTAATTGAAATGAGGGTTCTTGCCTTTTGCATTCAGATGTGCTTTGAGATTTTGTTTATTAGTGTTTTTGTGTGTATGAATGATGTGTATGTATGGAAGTCAGACAACTTCATGGAATTGGGCCTTGCCTTCTACCTTTATGTGTGTGCTAGGGGTTGAGCTCAAATCATCGGGCTTACACAGCACATGCTTACTCACTGAACTATCTCACCAGGCCTGAGATTTTAAAGTTTACAAGAATAGTGTAGGAGAGCTAGCTGTGGTTGTATATGTCTATAATTCTAGCACTTGGGGAGGGTGAGGCAAGAGAATGGTGAATTCTAGACCAGCTTGGACTACACAAGATCCTTCCTCAAAACCAAAAAGAAGGAAAAAATTACTACAGGAAAATGTCAAACTCAGTTGCTCACACTTATATGTGTCAGGATCTCCTGAATTGCTTTTATAAATACATATTTATAAGGGTTGAGGATATATCTCAGTGGTAGAGTAGTTAACGTGTTGGACATCACAGACAGACACAGACACACATACAGAATGAGTCTTATCCCAGAGGAATTAGACTAGGAATGGATTCCCAATTGTGTTCTTTTTTTTAGTGCACCATAAGAATCATAGGTCTTGGGACTGAAAAGATGGTTCAGTGATTAAGAGCACTGAATGCTCTTGCAGAAGACCCATGTGGCAGGTTAACAACCATCTGTAACTCATTCCAGTTCCAGGGGTCTCATGGTTCCCAGCCTCTGAGGGCATTGCACGTACATGGTACACTTGCATGCATGCAGGCAAAACACTCATACACATAAAATAATACAATAAAATAAATTAAAAAGTAAAATACTGCCAGGTGTGGTGGCGCACGCCTTTAATCCCAGCGCTTGGGAGGAAGAGGCAGGCGTCTGTGAGTTCAAGGCTAGCCTGGTCTCCATTAGCAAATCCAGGCCAACTCTGGCTACAGGGAGACCTTGTCTTAAAAAGACTCCAAAAAATAATAATAACAATACTGCTGGTCTTAAAAAGTTTTAGAGTTCTGCTGGGGATGTAGCTCAGTAGATAGAATGCTTACCTAACATGTATGAACCCCTAGGTTTGATCCCTAGCACCACATAACAGGCGTGGTGGTACATGCGTATAATCCCTGCACTTATGAGGAGGATGATCAGTAGTTCTAGGTCATCCTCTGATGCTTGGCAGGATTGAGGCCAGCCTTGAGTCTACATGATGCCCTCTCAAAAATAACAAAATGTGTTTGCAATTAATTCAAAGATTTAACTGTCTCAAATTTTTTTCTTACAGGCCTCTTCAAAAAGAGGAAATTTGGAAACTAAGGATGATACTCCGTTTCGAAAAGTTCTTGGTAATCCAGGTAGAGGATCAATTAAGACTGTAGCAGGAAGTGGAATAGCTGTTACCCGGACAATTCCTCCTTTGACGCTTACATCAACTCCTCTTAGAGCAGGATTATTAGAAAACCGGTAGGAAAGACTTAGTTCTTTTAAAAAAAAAAAAAAAAAAAAATTTTATTTTACTGTTTTCATTTTATGTGTATGTGTGTATTATAGTGCCTGCATGGAGGCAAGTGCAGTGTCATGCAGTGCCTGCGGAGGACAGAAGAGGCTGTCGGATCCCCTGGAACTGGAGTTACAGATAGTTGTTAGCTGCCATGTGGGTACTGGGATTCGAACCTGAGTATTCTGCAAGAACAACCAGTGTTCTTAACCACTGAGCCATCTCTCCAGCCCCGGAAAGACTTAGTTCTTCAGTCTTTGTTATGAATGTCTTTTGTAACTTTGAGGAATTAGGGAAAAAGTGTAATACATTTTTGTCTATAATTACAAGTGTTTGTCTTTAGTTTATAGCAGTGACATTTAACATTCGGACAAACAGTATATTAAGGTGATCATAGGGAATTAGATAATTGTGACCATATTGCTAATATTTGAGTGTGTTGATTTATAATTGTGAGGGGGGCGGTAGGTGGGTGGGTAAGTAGATGTGTGTGCAGGCACACATGCACTTTTGTAGCTGTGCATGTGGAGGCCAGAGGACAACCTTGGCTGTCATTTCTTAAACATCACCTAAGGATTTTTTGTTCTTGCTTTTTGAAACAGGGTCTCTCACTGGCTTTGAGCTTGCCAGCTAGCTAGCCATAGGAATCCTCCTGTCTCCTTCCTAGCTCTGGGATTGTAAACATCCCATCATGCCCAGCTTTTTTTTTTTTTTTTTTTTTTTTCTGTCTTTTTGAGACAAGGTCTCCCTGTAACCCCAGCTGGCACCTACCTTTGCCTCCTGAGTAACTAGAATTAAAGGCATGTACCACCACGCCCAGCATGCCCAGCTTTTTAACTGAGTCCTGGGGATTGAACTCAGGTCTTCTACTTGCAACTTTACTAAGTCTTCTTAGCTCTGGTTTACAATTTTTGATGGTATGAATTATGACTTTTTAAAGTTGTTATTTTTTTATCCTTATTTATCCTTATTTTTTCTCCTTAGCACTGAAAAGAGGAAAAGAATGCTATCTGGCTCAGAGCTAACTGAAGATTATCCTAAAGAAAATGATTCCTCATCGTAAGTTTCTCTAAGAGCCTTTAGGCCACTTGACCAGTGTTTTCTTTTACTGATAGATAAAACCACTAGGGGAAATTTAAACAGTATTCAATCTGTGGGAATTCTAGTTGTAAAAGAACAGAATTTAAATTGTGTTGTTAGTGGTAGATTGTAGACTTTAATAGACAATTTGGTAAGTGCTGTTGCTTTTTTTTTTTTAATTTATTTTTATTTTATGTGTATGCATGTATTGTTTGCATGTAGGTAAATGCACCAGTGTTGTTCAGTGCCAGTGGAGGTCAGAAGAGGCTGTCAGATCCCCTGGGACTGGAGTTATGGACAGTTGTTAGCTGCCATGTGGGTACTGGGATTCAAACCCGTGTCTTCTGCAAGAACAACCAGTGTCCTTAACCACTGAGTCATCTCTCCAGCCCCAAGTGCTGTTGCTTTTTGTTTTTGTTTTGAGACAGGGTCTTGATAGGTATGTGTTGACTTTGAACTCATGGTCCTTCTGCCTCAGCTTGCCTTCCTAGTGTAAAAAATTAGCCGGAGGATAAAAAAAATGTGAGCCCTACATAGATAGATTCTAGGCAAAGATCAGGTATACTTTCTGTGTTGATAAACAGATCTGTAGCAGGACTCTCACCAGCTCATGATCCTTTTCCTTATGTGAAGATTTTTCTGTTCTTTGCCCCTCTGTTCATCTTCCTCCCTTCCTTTTTCTCTTTTCTTTGTTTTGGTGGGAGTGTTGGGCATGGGGGAGGGGCACTTTGACATAGTTAACAGTTAATGACCATAATACCTGAAAAGAAATCAGTTGCTAGTTAACTAGTATTTCAGACCAAGGCGTCACCAGAAAGAATTGGGAAGAAGAAAGAAAAAAACCTGTATTTATTAAGTGGTTCTGCTGTAACAGATGCAAAAGTCTATGAAGATGATAGGACTGTAATCTAAAAATGACAGTCACTGTATACTATAGTTAATCTACCATCCTTGATAAATACCTTAATAAATACTTTGGACCTTAGATAGTGCTCCAATCTCCACTTTTATCACCTTCATGTCTCTATTCTTGTTAGAGGAAGTGTGCATACCACTTTTATGCATATTAGTAACAGGGTTTTATTAAATTATAAAAGCCTAGGAAATATTCCTAGCCAAAATTCAACCAGAATGGTATAAAGGTATGATAGTTACTTGGGAACAACTAACAGCTTACCATAATTTACCCTTCTAGTTACCAAAATACCCCTTTTTGCCATTCTTTGCACAAATAGAGTCTCCCCTCAAAGAGGGAACCTTGCAAGTTCCTCTCTATAAAGTCTACCTGTGTCTTGGACTATGTCCTCCTTCCTGGTAGTCCTAAAACACAAACAGTGAATTAATACACAACTCTGTTTTCGTGTGTTTGCATACGTAATATATTGCTAGAGAAGAAACAGAGTAACCACAATGAAATTTTCTGTTTAGAAAAAAATATGAATAGGGGCTGGAGAGATGGCTCAGCAGTTAAGAACACTGGTTGTTATTGCAGAAAACCCAGGTTCAAATCTCAGCACCCACATGGCAGCTGTCTGTAACTCCAGTTCCAGGGGATCCGATGGCCTCTTCTGTCCTCTGCAGGCATTGCATGACACAGGTGTGCTTACCTACATGCAGGCAATATACTCATACACATAAAATAGAAATAATAAATAAAATATTTTTTAAAAAGGTAGGAATATGAAGCTATAGAAGTCTGGTCTATAGTGGTGATAAACATTTTCTTTCTATCCCAGGCTGGCCTCAAATCTATGTAGCCATTTAGTTCTATGCATGTCTCATACTAAGTTAATTCCCTCTTATCACAGATTCTTCACAATGATATTTACCAATTTCTGAGGGAGAATCTTAGAAAGGAAGGCTTAGAGAGATGACAATAACATGGCTAAACATGGCCTTGAAACTGCAAAGAGTATTTTCTTAATATTTTTATTTTATGTGTGTGTGTGTGAGTGTATTGCCTGCATGTGTGTAAGTACACTTGTGTCATATATTGCCCTCAGAGATCAGAAGAGGCCATCGGATCCCCTGGAACTGTAGTTATAGATGGTTGTTAGCTACCATGTGGGTGCTGAGAGCTGAACCCAGGTCCTTTGCAAGAGCAGCCAGTGCTCTTAACTACTGAGCCATCTCTCCAGCTTCTGTAAAGGTTATTTTGATCTTCTATTATCTGTTCTAGATTCCCTGCAGTCTCTACTAGCATTTTTAGAGCCTTGATGGTAGCATGCCTGAGGTCTTGATGCCTGAGGGATCTGAACCTTTGGTTACCGTATACATATTAGGCCATTGTTGATGAAATTTCCCATTGTAGTGCCATGAGCACCATGCTGCTTTTGATCACGAGAGCAGTGAAGTTCCTTTGAAATCTCTTTTTCCCACACATCTTGGGCCTTCTCATTATACAGCTTTTCATCCTCATAATAAAGTCATTTACCTTGACTAGTATGAAAACTCCTTTCTTTGCCTACTGATCTGCCAGCAGAAGGAGCCCAAAATGACCTAACAGCGGCCATAACTAGATTTAATTATTTTCCTACGGTGCCTCCTGATGAAAATGTTCCTTGTTTTTCCCTATTTGGATAACGGGATCCACAGCATCTAATTTGGCTGGGTAGGAAGCAGATTCTCAGAATGAGTTATTGAAAATAATGGTGAGTGAAACCACTCCTACTTGTACCCCTTAGTTTCTGAGATCACATATTCCTCATGAGCATAATGGTTTGTTAATTTAAGGTATAAGTTGAGCATTCCTATTCCAGAAATCTGATAGAAGTACTCAAAAATAAGAAACTTTGAGTCTTGATATGATGCTATCAGTAGAAGCTTCTACATTAGATCTTATAAAAAACGTCACAAGCAAAGCAAGGGTGTACTAAGAATACTGTATCAAATTACCTTCAGACTGTATGTATTAGGTGTATCTTAAACAATGGTTCTTATCCCTAAGATATCTTGTATGTATGTAAATATTCCAAAATTGAGGAACCATCCCAAATCTGAAACACCTCTGGTCACAAGCGTTTTGGATAAGGGGTATTAAATGTGTATGTAGTATATCTTTTATTAACATTAATTGTAAAAATTAAAGAAATTTAATGTGTCATGTGTATTGATCTTTTCTATATCCCCTCAAGCTCTAGTAATTACTTGTCTACTTCTAGGTCAACCCTGTTCTTTATTCCCTCTCCTCCTCTCTCTTCTTAGTTTCCACATGTGAGAGCGAGCATGTGATACTTCTCTGTGTCCAGCCTATTTTTACTCACCATTACATCTTTTAATTCCATCGATTTTAACGAAATTTTACTTTATTGTGTGTAGGTGTGTGTGCCCAAGGTGCATGTGTAGAAGTCAGAGGACAGCTTTTGGGAATTCTCTCTTTCTGCTGAGGGATCTAGGGATCAAACTCAGGTTTTCAATTTTGTGCAGCAAATGCTTTTTCCCTCTTAGTCATGTTGCTGGCCCAGATCCATCAACTTTTCTGCAAATATTTATTCTTTATGGATGAATAATACTTCATTGCATATTTATATCCCATATTTTCTTTGTCTATTGACACCTATCTTGATTATGTATCTTAGCTGTTATGAGTAGTACTGTATATAACGTAGGCATTCAAATAACTGTTTTGTATCCTGATTTCATATCCTTTGGATATGTACCTGAGTAGGATATAGCTGGATCATGTGTTAATTCTATAGTTGTTTTAGGAGCCTCCATTGCTGTTTTCTGTAACAATTGTAACAATTTACATCCCTACCAACAGTGTATAGGGTTCACTTTCTCTCTTTGCATCCCCTGCTTATTTTCGGGTTCCATTTGCTTGAAATGCAATTTTCTACCCTTTTTGAGTTCCATTTTGTGTCTTTAGTGGTGAGGTGAGTTTTGGTAGGCAGCCTCTATCTTGGTTTTTTTATTTAGACTTTTGTGAGACAAGGTCTCATGTAGTCCAGACTGGACTTGAACTTACTGTGGAACCAAGGATGATTTTGAACTCCTGCCTTTGCCTCCCACATGCAGGCATTATGGCATTACAGGCATGAGCCACCACCAATCCTGGGTCTTCTCTGTAAAACATTTACTATGTATGCAGGTGCACTCACAAAGTGGGGGGAGGAGAGGAGAGAGAGATCCTGCTCTTCCCCCTCCCATATTCATAGGTTGACACCTTCATCCCTAAAGTGGTTTTGGAGCTAGAACCTTTGTGGAGTTAGAAAAGGTTAAATGAGGATTCTTACATTACAGTAGGGCTCTAATCTAATAGGACTGAGAAGAGAAGTAGACATCCAGAGCTCTTTTTCCATGTTCATAAGCCATATGAAGACATAGTAAGACGGCAGCCATCTACAAATCATGAAGAGAACCCTCACCAGAAACTGAATTTGCTGGCATCATGATTCTGTATTTCCAGCCTACAGAATTGTGAGAAGATCAATGACTGCTTTGGCAACCAGTCTGTGGTGTTTTGTTATGGCAGTCCAAGTAGGTCAATACAAACTGTTAAGTTTTCTTTTGTTCTGTTTTCTTTTCCAGAGACAATGTGTTAGATTCCTGGACTGTCCTAACAAATCACCATGAGCTTGGTGACTTAAAAGCAACCAACATTTATTCCTTTATAGTTAGACCAACAGACTTGGTGGCAAGCACCTTTACTCATGAGCCATCTATCTCTCTGGCCCAATTGCTTTCTTTTCTAAGGTGGAAGGAATTTGACAAAATCATTGTTGCCAGGAGTTGGAGAGAGCACTGACTGCTCTTGCAGAGGACCTGGGTTCAGTTTCCAGCACCCATTTGGCAGCTAAGAACCATCAGTAATTCCAACACCCTTTTCTGGTCTCCACTGGCATTGTGCAATATGGGTGTGCTTACATACATGCTGGTACAACACTTATAAAAAATAAGTAGATCTTGGCGGTGGAGAGATGGCTCAGCGGTTAAGAGCACTGACTGCTCTTGCAGAGGACCCGGGTTTGATTCCCAGCACCCACGTGGCAGCTACAACCGTCCTTAACTCCAGTTCCAATCCGACAGCCTCTTCTGGCCTCCTTGGGCATTACACAACATGGGTGCACTTACCTACATGCAGGCAATACAGTCATACACATAAAATAAAAATAATAAATAAAATATATATTTTTTAAAGTAGATCTAACCAGGTATGGTAACACACACCTGTAGTCCCAGCACTTGGGAGGCAGAGGCAGGGAGATCTCTGTGAGTTCAATGCCATCCTGGACTACCTAGTGAGTTCCAGGCCAGCTGGGGCTACAGGGAGACCCTGTTTCAAAAAGACAAAAAAAAAGTATATCCAAAAAAAATTTTTTTAATCATTTGTTATCAAATGTCTAATTGGTTTTCACAAGGCATAATACTGGATCAGCACCAGTTTCTAATGTTAACCAATTGGGACACACAGCAGCAGCAGTAACTGAACCTCAGTGAAGGAAAACCTATACTATAGATTCTAGCACTGCCACCATAGCTGTTTTAATCATGGACCTTGTGGAAATACTAGAATAGCTATGGGCAAAGACTGACTGATTTGCCCCAAAGAAGCAATCCTTCTGATTATTGAGTCTTTTTAGTAGAGTTCTCTGGTGAACATTAGCATATAAACAGGTCTTTACCCGTCATACACTCCTGTAGGTTTGTTTCTTTCATGAATCATTTTTCTCTATCTTCCAGGACCCTGGTCGTCCATCTAGGACGACCAACTCCTTGCTACCAACTAGTAAAGTAGTCTATGACTCACTTTAGCCACACAGAGTAAATGGTGAAATGCATTTCTCAGACCTCTTCCCCTCACTGTTGTCTTTCAAAACAGTCCTGTAGTGGGTCTATGGTTGATTTTCATTTTATACCAGTGTCCTAAGATGACCTATCCATGAATCAGGTCCAGATTTATTTTTCTTTCAGCTGGTTATAGGGAATGCCTATAATGCATGTTCTTTATCACTTCCTGTTTACTTGGATCCAATCTCAGTATACTTAGCTCCATTTTATGAGAGATTACTGCTGTACCCTTTTGACCTTGTGCCTTTGGGTATGATAACACCAAGTTCATGATGGTTACTTCTGGTTACATAGTTCCTTAATGACCAATAGTTTCATCCCCTTGTTTCTTGGCTGGCCTATTAGTTTGACAGGAGCAACATACACAACTTTGTTGCCAATTTAGAATTTTCTTTTGCATACAGCATGGTATTGCTTTAGAATCCTAAGGTAACCAGGCTGCTTTTCTCCTGTGAGCTAGTGACTTGCACAGTGTCTGTCTTTAAGGTGATAATGGTCTCAGCTGAACCTGTCATTTTCTCTTTTGAACAGATCAATATTCATAGTAACAACCAGTCAGTTTTATAGTGTTGATGGTTATTTTTTTAAACCTCATCTCCTTTGTTGCAGTTGCAAATTCCTCTATTTCATGACTTTATGTTACAGCTTAAAAAGTATTGCTTACGAATTACAGTATCCTTATCCTGGGTACTTCTGCTTACCTGAGCCCAGCTTAGCCAGTTGTATCTAGAGTCTTTGATTTTCCCATGAGTCTGTGGTCAGTAGGTGACTCGATGTAGTTTAGTCTCACTCGTGGCTGGTCCTGGAGTCACTATCAGAGTAATTAGGTCATGTGTTTTGTATCATCTAGTAAGCTAGCCTAGAATAATTCCTATAGCACTGTCAGGGTTCCAAAAATGAATGGGAATTTGAAAGACAGCTTTAGGATTAGAATCAGAACTCACCAACTTTTACTTCTGTTATATTCTTTTGGGAAAAGGAAATTAATTACAGGGCCAAACTAATTAAAGGATAGAAAATACATGGTGTATTTATGTATGTATTTTGACGGGGTCTTGTGTAACCCATACTGGCCTTAAACTCCTGCTCTTCCTGCCTCTACCTCCTGGGTTCTGGATTACAGGCATGTACTATGCCTGGCTTAGCTTGATGAGAAGCTTGTAGGATGAAAATGTGGAACAATGGACCCAAAAATGGGGTCAAAGGGAATGTGAACAGAGCACCATTGTTTTCTGTTGCAAGCTTAATTTATGATGATTCCCCTAATTAGCAGTTTTAATCAAAACATGATAATTTATTTAAATAGACACTAATATTGTAAGTTCAGGTATTTAGGAATGATAGGGAGAAAGTGAGGCTTGTTTACGAAATGTTAACTTTGCATTCATGAACTTAATCACTACTAGTTAAAATGTGTTTTCGCCTGGCGTGGTGGCACACGCCTTTAGTCCCAAGAGGCAGAGGCAGGTGTATCTCTGTGAGTTCGAGGCCATCCTGGTCTACATGGTGAGTTCCAGGACAGCTGGGGCTACAGGGAGACCCTGTCTCAAAAAAAAAAAAAAAGTTTACATTTTCTTTTGGGGTTGTGGGACACACCTTTAATCCCAGCACATAGGAGGCAGAGGCAGAAGTTTACATTTTCTAAATAGCATTTAAAATCATGTACAACATAAGAACATTTTGGGCTTTGCTTTATTTTTTTAAAACTGAAAAGCATCAATACTGAACAAGTGTACTTTTTGAACTGATTGTTTTGATCTCAGGTAAATAATTTCATCTGACCTTGCTTTTTAAAATTTTATTCATTAATTTTTTTGTGTGGTTTTGTGCACATGCAGGCACATGCATGCCATGACTTATATGTGGAGGTCACAAGACAACTTTCAGGAATTGGTTGTCTACTTCTACTGTGAGATCCAGGGATCAAACTTGGGTCATCAGGCTTGTGTGACAAGTGCTTTTATTTCCTGAGCCATTTACCTCGAGCCATTTGGCTGACCCTGATCTTGCTGTTGGCTAAAAAAAAAAAAAAAAAAAACGCTTTTTTATAAGCCAATCAAGTTGCCAATCAAGGTTAACCAGCAAGGGCTGGAGGGGTGGCTCAGCAGTTACAAGCACTGACTGCTCTTGCAGAAGACCCAGGTTTGAATCCCAGCACCCACGTGATGGCTAACAGCCATCAGTAACTTCAGTTCCGAGGATTCAGCACCCTCTTCTGTCCTCTGGGCACTGCACGACATGGGTGCACTTGTATATATACATACAGGCATAATACTCATACACATAAAATAAATTAATAAAAATAGGAAATGTTTCTTTAATTTTGCTTAGTTTACTAAAACTATAAATTATTAGTTCATAATAATGAAAAGTTATTTTCATAATATTTACTTATTTCAGTTAGCTAATGAGGCTTTAACATCCTTATAGCCAAACTTTGAAGTATATCAAAGGAATTTGTCACTTAAAATACAACTTTCAAAGTAAGAATACCAGCCGGGTGTGGTGGTGCACCCCTTTAATCCCAGCACGGGAGGCAGAGGCAGGCAGATCTCTGTGAGTTCAAGGCCAGCCTGGTCTACATAGTGAGTTCCAGGACAACTGGGGCTACAGGGAGACCCTTTCTCAAAAAGAGTATCAGGGCTGGGGAGAGATGGCTCAGTGGTTAAGAGCACTGACTGCTCTTGCAGAGGACCCGGGTTCAATTCCCAGTACCCACATGGCAGCTATGAACCGTCCTTAACCCCAGTTCCAGGGGAATCTGACACCCTCTTCTGACCTCCGCAGCATTGCATGACACAATGCACTCACATACATGCAGGCAATACACTCATACATGTAAAATAGGCACACACCTTTAATCCTAGCACTCTGGAGGCAGAGGCAGGTGGATCTCTGTGAGTTCAATGCCAACCTGGTCTATATAGTGAGTTTTAGGACAGCTGGGGCTACAGGGAGACCCTGTCTCAAAAAGACCAAAAAAAAAAAAAAATAACAATAAATAAAAAAATTTTTTTTCAAAGTAAGAATATCTTGCCGGGTGTGGTGGCGCACGCCTTTAGTCCCAGCACTTGGGAGGCAGAGGCAGGCGGGTCTACACAGTGAGTTCCAGGACAGCTGGGGCTACAGGGAGACCCTGTCAAAAAAAAAAAAAAAAAAAAAAAAAAAAAAAAAAGAAAAGAGAATATCTTTATGGGGCTGGAGAGATGGCTCAGTAATTAAGAACTCTGGTTGTTCTTTCAGAAGACCCGACTTAGAATCCCAGCACCCACATGGCAGCTATCAGCTGTCTGTTACTCCAGTCCCAGGGGATCCGACAGCCTCTTCTGACCTCCATGGGCATTGCACGACACGGGTACACTGACCTACCTGCAGGCTATACACGCATACACATAAAATAATTTTTTAAAAAAGAATATACCTTCATGCTATATTTATTTCAAATTATTAACTGTAGGAACAACAAGGCTTTGACAGATCCTTCAAGAAAATATTTAACAAGCAGTAGAGAAAAGCAGCTGACTTTGAAACAGGCAGAAGAAAATCGGACATCAGGTAAGTTTTGGTCTTTATTTAAGGTCTCATTTATTTGGATGATATATTATATCTGCTTATATCTGCTCTTGCAAAGGTCCTGGGTTCGATTCCCAGCATAGAAAAAACTAAATCATGGCAGCTGGCAACCATCCCCAGCTCCAAGGCATCCAACACCCTCTTCTGACCTTTGTGGGCCTTGCATGACACGAGTGTACTTACTTACATGCAGACAATAAAATAAAAATAATAAATAAAATATTTTAAAAATAAAATCACATTGGGGTGTGCTGAAGAAATGGCTCAGTGATTAAGAATATATACTGCTCTTACAGGGGACCTGAATTCAGTTCTGAGCACCCCCTTCAGGCATCTCATGGCTATCTGGTATTTCTGACCTCACATGCACAGACACACACACAACACACACACACACACACACACACACACAATTAAAAATAATAAAAAATAGAGCCTCAAAAAAAGTAAGAAAAACTTGGTTTTAAAAAGTGACCAGAAAAGCCGGGTGTGGTGGCGCACGTTTTTAATCCTAGCACTCAGGAGGCAGAGGCAGGTGGATCTCTGTGAGTTCAAGGCCAGCCTGGTCTACATAGTTCCAGGACAGCTGGGGCTACAGGGAGACCCTGTCTCAAAAAGACCAAAAAAAAAAACAAGTGACCAGAAAAAGAAAAAAGAGCTAGATATGGTGGCACACACCTTTAGTTCCAGCACTTGAGAGGCAGAGGCAGGCAGATCTCTGTGAGTTCAAGGCCAGCCCCCAGCTGGGGCTACAGGCAGACCCTGTCTCAAAAGATCAAACATGGGACCCAGAGAGATGGCTCATGGCTAAAAGCACTGACTGCTCTTACAGATTACCCAGGTTCAATTCCCAGCACCCACGTGTCGCTAACCCATCTTTAACTCCAGTTTCAGGGATCTGATTCCCTCTTCTGACCTCCACGGGCATTGCACATACATGGTATGCTTACATATATGGAGGCAGACACTCATAAAAGTAAATAAATAAGCTAGAAGAAAAACTGGTATAGCGTGCAGAGGAACACTGCTTTGCTAGTGTCCCTTTCCTTACTGTACTTGATCTTCATTGTGCTTGTATTAAAAATAGAAATTTAAATAAATATAAACAGATCAAATTGTATATTGTTATTATTAGATCAACTTGAATTAGATATTACAATTTTCCTTTATTATGTGTTTTGTAGGGCTTTTACCTTTGCAGTCATCAGCATTTTATGGTAGTAGAGCTGGATCCAAGGACTATTCTTCTGGTGGCACTAACCTAGATAGGTATGTATTGGTTATAGAAAGCCTTGTGACGAATTTGAAGAGCTCTCTCTTTTCACCATGTTGAGTAATGAAACAGGCTATGCTGTACGCCTAGTCAACACCCCAGTTTAAGCGCATAAAAATTGATTAAGATAAGATCACCACATTTTAGTTAGAAAGTAGAATGTTTGTTTGGGTTTTTAAAAAAATATATTTATTTTTATTTTATGTGTATGCTTGTATTGCCTGCATGTAGGTAAGTGTACCTGAGTCATGCAATGCCCTCAGAGATCAGAAGAGTCTGTCGGATCCCCTGGGACTGGAGTTACAGACAGTTGTTAGCTGCCATGTGGGTGCTGGGATTCGAACCCGGGTCTTCTGCAAGAATAATCAGTGTTCTTAACCGCTGAGCCATCTTTCCAGCCCCCCTGTTTTGTTTTGTTTTTAAATTTTATTTATTAAATATTTCTGGGGGGTTTTGTTTTGTTGTTTTTTGGGGGTTTTTTTGGTCTTTTTGAGACAGCGTCAGCCCCAGCTGGCCTGGAAGTTACTGTGTAGACCAGGCAGGCCTTGAACTCACAGAGATTCGCCTGCCTCTGCCTCCCAAGTGCTGGGACTACAGGTGTGCGCCACCACACCCGGCAATATTTCTGTTTTTAATTGAGATCTAGAAAGATTTGTATGGAGGCTACTGATGGTGATTGGCAAAGTAACCAGATTCCAGACCACTGTTTCCCATCCTCCCCAGTGATGGGCATATTAAGATCTCTTTCTTCTGAGACTTTTGTCTTTTTCGAGACAGGGTCTCCCTGTAGCTCCAGCTGTCCTAGAACTCAAAGAGATCTGCCTGCCTCTGCCTCCCAAAGTTCTGGGATTAAAGGCTTGCACCACCATGCCCGCCTCTTCTGGGGCTTTTTTACATTGCTTCCTTTTATATTGTTTCCTTTGCAGTTATTAAGCTACCTTCCAAAAAATAGGGATTTTTTCTTATAAGCTAAAGCATCACATGAATATCTTTCACCGGAACAGTTTTTCAGAAATTTAATTACCGACCAGGCATGATGATGCACACCTGTAGTCCTAGGAGGCAAACGAAGGAGATATACACAAATTCAAGATTGACCTGACATCCAAAGTGAGTTCTGAAACAGCTAGGGATACATAATAAGGCTCATAAAAGTGTGGCCATGGAGTGTAGCACTTGGGGTGATTAGGATGTAAAAAGTGAACGCAGTATGCTAGTCTTATTTTGTCTTTTTATTAGAACTTAATTCAAAGTAGTGAAAACATCTTGAGTTTTTTATATACAATTATTAAAGTGATGCAAGTGATGCTGTATGTTTAGGTATATTTAGCCTTGGGTGCTAGCTCTCAAACACTTTATAATTGACAGTGATAATTAAATTTAAGAGAATTTTGACAGTCCACTCATCAAATAGTCTGAAAGAAACCTGTTTTTGTTTTTAACTTAAAAGGAAAAGAAAAAAGGCTCAGTGGATAAAAATGCTTGCCGTGCAAGCCTGATAGCTGAATATTCTCAAAACCTATGTAAAAGCTTGATGCAGTTGTCCTCTGTCTGCCACACTTGTGCCACAGCACATGTTCACCTGCACACACAAACATGTACACACACAAATTAATAAACGAATATTTGAAACTAAACTTGGTTTCCAAATGATTTATTAAAAAGAACAGAGATTAAACCAGGCGTGGTGGTGCACGCTTGTAGTCCCAGCACTTGGGAGGCAGAGGCAGATGGATCTCTGAGTTGAAGGCCAGCCTGGTCTACATAGTGCGTTCCAGGCCAGCTGGGGCTACAGGGAAACCCTGTTTCAAAAACAAAACAAAACAAAAAAACAACCAAACATTATATAAATTTCTTCTCAACATAATGAGCATATTCATTTCATATAGGAATGTTTAAGGGAGCAGGCTGGGCTTTGGCTCAGTGGTAGAGTGTTTGCCTGGCATATTTGTGGTCCCAGGTCCAATCCCTGATACTGCAAGAAAAAAATGTTAGACATGTTTAAAGCAGAAAAAACTTGAGTGCAAAGTTGTACTCAAAGATAATGTAAAAATACCCAGATCAATATAGGGAAAAAAAGAGCAAGAGCTAAAACCATAAAGCATGTGCAAAACACAGGCTAGAGTCATGTGTCAAGAACTGGACGTATGAGATTGGGAACTAAGTGTCACCTCCCAGAACAGAAGAGGCAAGCATGCTAGGGAAACACTTTACCACTGAGCTAAAAAATGGTTTCAAACTACAAGAAAGAAAATAAATTCTCTATGAAAGTGAAACAATTGACATTTGTAACGAGAAGTAGAAGAGTTAAATGTTAATAGCAGAGTAAAGGACAAAAAATTCTGTACCTAGCAGGGCAGGGTGGTCTACACCTTTAATCCTATCACTAGGCTGCAGAGGGAAGCAGAGGCAGGCAGATTATTGAGCTTGAGGTCAACCTGCTGTGTATAGTGGTTTCCAGGCCAGCTCAGCTGTGACTACAGGAAGACCCTTTCTAAAAAAATATCTATACCCAAGTAAATTATAATTCAAAGATAAAGACCAAGAATGCTATTTTTATCCGGACATGTTGGCACACATCTGTAATCTCAGCACTCCAGAGGCAGGAGGATCATGTGTTTGAGGCTAGATCATGTGACCCTGCCTCCAGTTTGTATACATTGGAAAGTATGCTTTTTTACCTAATGCTTGGTATTTACCTTTTCCTCCCAGAGGTACCCACTTGTCTTTCCAGGATTATTCCATATATGCAAATTATTTTAATAAGTTTTACAAAATGAGAGTGTAGTAGGATTAAAAACAGAGCATAAAATATTAGACAATTAGCAATACAGGAGGAGGGAAGTATACAGGGAAATGAAAACATTTGAAGTTGCTTTTCTTGCTTGAGAAGAGGCTGCAGTTATTGTATTCTAAAGCTGGAATAGCAGAGAGATTATCGTGGCTCCTGGTGAAAAGATGATATACAGATTTGTGAAGTACTCCATCTTGAAAAAAGAAAAGAAAGCCCCAGCACGTGGGAGGCAGAGGCAGGCGGATCTCTGTGAGTTCAAGGCCAGCCTGGTCTACATAGTGAGTTCCAGGACAGCTGGAGCTACAGGGAGACCTGTCTCAAAAAGACCAAAAAAAAAAGTTAGATATTAGAGTTGGAGAGATGGCCCAGCGCATATTGCCCTTGCAGAAAACCAGAGTTCAGTTCCCAACACCCGTATAGGACAGCTCAGGCTGTATACAACCACTTGGATCTCCAGCTCCAGTGACTCAGACGTCCTCTTCTAGATCTGAGGCCACCTGCACTCACACATGCATATACACCCCAACAGACACATAAATATATCCAATAAAAAATAAAATAATCAGCGGTCAAGAACACTGACTGTTCTTGCAGAAGACCCAGGTTCGAATCCCAGCACCCACATGGCAGCTAACAACTGTCCAAAACTCCAGTCCCAGGGGATTTGACAGCCTTTTCTATCCTCCGCAGCATTGCACAACACGAGTGCACTCACATGCAGGCAGTACACATACACATAAAATAAAAATAAAAAGTAAAATATTTAAAAATCTTCAAAGAGAATCTGGAAAAAGGAACACTGGATGTTTAGTTACAGAAAAATCGTTTAGTGCTAGAGACTTGGTTCAGTAGTTAAGAGCACTGACTGCTCTTCAGAGAACCCAGGTTTGGTTTCTAGCAGCTAATAACCATCTGTAACCCTATTCTAAGGGATTTAACCCCTTTTCTGGCCTCTGTGGGCATTGCATGTATGGGTTCACTTACATTAACATGCAGGCAAAACATACACATAAAATAAATTAAAAATTTAGTGTGGAATCTAGATTTAATTATTTATATATAGATATATAGTTTTAAATATATATGAGACTAGCTAAAGGGCACCTGAACAGGGAGAGGACTAAGGACAGGGAGAGGAGGGATCAAGGAAAGTAATTAAGAGGCAATTGTGAGCATAGTACAATGATACATATAGGGAGACACAGTAAAACTCATTTATTTTGTATGTGCACTAAAATAAATTGTTTAATTTTTCTTTTTAAATGATTTTTTGAGACAGATGATTGATTAAAATAAAGAGACATGAAATAGAGAAAAAGAGCAAGAACCTGTGAAAGAAGTTCGAAACATAAAATATAAACCAAATCAGTAGTAATACCTTTTGCTTTTCTTTGTATTTTTTTTTTATTTATTTTTATTTTATGTGTATGCTTGTGTTGTCTGCATGTAGGTAAGTCCACCCGTGTCGTGCAGTATCTGGGGAGGTCAGAAGGGGCTGTCAGATCCCCGGGGACTGGAGTACAAACAGTTGTTAGCTGCCATGTGGGTGCTGGGATTCAAACCCAGGTCTTCTGCAAGAACAACCAGTGTTCTTAACCGCTGACTCTCCAGCCCCTGTTTTGTTTCGTTTTTGAGATCGAGTCTTCTTAGCCTGGAACTTGCTATAGTACACCAGGCTAGCTTCAGTCTCCTAGAGATCCACCTGCCTCTGCTTCCTGAGTACTTGATTTAAAGGCATACACCCCCACATCTGGCTTATTAAATTTTTTAAAAATATATTTTATTTATTGAGGGGCAGGTTATGTGTAGGACAAAGAACTTACAGGAGTTGATTTTCTCCTTCTTTGTAGGTCCTGGAGATGGAATGCAGATCAGTAGGCTTGTTAGCAAGCACCTTTATCCACTGAGCCATCTCACTGGTCCCAAATAATATACTAAATTTATTTGTTTATTTTTAGGACTTTTTGAGACAGGATTTCCCTGTAGCCCCAGCTGACCTGGAACTTGCTATATAGACCAGGCTGGGATCTCTCAGAGATACACCTGCCTCTGCTGGGTTTAAAGACTGCACCACCATGCCCAGTCTAAATTTAATTTTACAGCATACTAATTTATATAAATACAATAAATATTCCGATTAAGCAAAATTATTTTTTATTTAAATGAAGATTATCTATGTGCCATGTGAAAGACCCAGCTACA